GGAAACAGCAAAACTCTGTACAAAAACCTTTGGAGCAAAGACAACAGAATACTCCACAACATCCACTAGAGGGAGCCACACACCTTTGTTAGGATACAGAATCATAACACAGCTGTGATGAGCTTCAGGTGAAGTGAATGAGATGTGAGCCTCCTCCTCCTCCTGACTGCAGAAACCTGTCTGACTCCAGCTGTGAACATCAGACCACTCACAGCAAACTCGCAGTAAATTGATGTGGATTTCATCCTGACATAAACACCTGTATACACTAGAGACGTAATCGTAGTTACTTGGATAAATTGTGTGTAATGATATATACTCATATATACATGCTTGCTCCCAATGAAGTGTTTATATGGGGGAGTCACTGCATGAAGCATTTAACCTGCATGTTCAAATCACATGACCCATATATTAAGGGTAAATATATCTACCATTTATTAGTGAAAAACTAAGATAAGATAGAACTTTATTAACCCTGTGGGTTTCTGGGAATTTGGTTAGAAAGCAAGCACCTGGCGAAGTTTAAAAAGGAGAAAATCCATCCATTCGCATCCTCCGCTTATCCTTTTCAGGGTGGCGGGGGGCGCTGGAGCCTATCCCAGCTGTCATAGGGCGAAAGGCGGGGTACACCCTGGACAGGTCGCCAGTCTGTCGCAGGGCCAACACACAGGGACAGACAACCATTCGCACTCACTATTCATCGTCACATTCACACCTAGTGACAATTTGGATTAATCAATTAACCTATCCCCACAAACTGCATGTCTTTGGACGGTGGGAGGAAGCCGGAGTACCCGGAGAGAACCCACGCAAACACGGGGAGAACATGCAAACTCCACACAGAAAGACCCCGGCCTGATGGTGGAATTGAACTCAGGACCTTCTTCTGTGCGGCAACAGTGCTAACCACCGTGCTGCCTATAAAATAAAAAATAAAAATACAAGTGAATTGCAAATTTCAAGTATGGAGTCTATTGCACTGTTGACTTTTAACAAAGGTATTGCACAATGAGGTGAAGAGGCACTGGACAGCATCAGTCTCCTGCACTTCTTTGGCCGCTTGAGTCAAGTCCTCCCACATGGTGCCATATAAATTATACTGAATATAGTGTTTTCTACCAAGCATTCATACTACAACGGAGGCATCAGGGAGCAACCTGGGGTTAGTATCATACTCAGGAAATATTTGGCATTCAAACTGAGAGCCAGCAACTGAACCACCAACCTTCCACAAACCTGTGAATCACCTCCCCGTCTGAGCTGACGTTCTCAGATAAAATGTTGATGTCACCTCTGCAGGTTGCAGACAAGTGGCTGCCAGAAATAGAGAAGTTTTACTATTTGGGGTCTTGTGAGGGGAAAACAACTTCTAAAAGAAGAAAACTCATCTACCAGATCTTCTGAAGGTGATTTCATCAAAGACAAGATCTCCACTGCTGCAGTGTCTGACTCTGCTGTGTACTACTGTGCTGTGAGGCCCACAGTGACAGGAAACAGCAAAACTCTGTACAAAAACCTTTGGAGCAAAGACAACAGAATACTCCACAACATCCACTAGAGGGAGCCACACACTGTTAAACCTCTGATTCTTGTGTCATTGGACTGATGACAAAGACAACAGAGAAATGAAGCAGTAAAGATCAGAGACAGAGACAGAGCTGCTGTGGAAGCACAAAACTGTTTGATTGGCTGAGCTATTAAACTGGCCCCGCCCACTGAAGTTGAGCTCATCCAATGACATTATTTGTTGGTCATTGTGCTGCAGTGGAAGAACATTGTTCATGTGCTGTCTGTCTGGCTTTAATAACTCCAAAGACATGTTGCTGCACCTCTTTTTGCTTCTATCTCACATTATAGGTGAGTTTAAGAACAGGGATTAAAGTTTAGTTGAAGCTGCTGCATTAAGCAGATATACAGACTGCATTTCACTACTTTTCTTCTTTCTTTTTCCAGGACTAACAGCTGGAGACTCAATCACTCCTCAACAACCTGAAGTCACTGAAACAGAAGGAGAATCTGTCACACTCACATGTAGCTATGAGACAAGTTATAGTTATCCTTGGCTTTATTGGTACAGACATGATTCTGACCTTCAGGCTCCTCAGTTTATACTCTACAAAGGAGCAAGATCACAGAGTGGCAATGAATATATTCCTGATAATCGATATGACTCAGAAACATCACCTACATCAACTAATCTGACCATAGCAGCCCTAACCCTGGCAGACACAGCTCTCTACTACTGTGCTCTACAAACACAGTGATACAAAGTGTAGAAGAGGCTGTACAAAAACCTGAACACAGATATCTGACTACTCTTCAAAGAGGAGGGAAGTGGTATTCAAAGCACAGCTTCATATCAGATGGATTCTGCTAATTCCTGTTTTATCAGAGTCACTGTGGTTACAGCTGCTAATGAAACACTGTGGGAGGATTCACATGAGCAGCAAATCCACATCAACCACAAACCAACTGCAGGAACGTTCAGACACAATAAAAACTGTCAAACATCAAAAGCTGCTCATTTACACTATTTTATATTTAGTGGATGAGGACATGCAGAAATGCAGCAGAAGCAAAATAAACAGAGTAACAGAGGTTTATCTCTTTAAGGTAAAATCTCTCACATGAAGCTAAAAGTCCAACCAGGAAGACCATCTCATGCTTGTTCCATTTATTCTCTTTGAACTCATCACATCAGATGATGATGCTCTCCTTCATCATTGTCCTGCTCTGGTACTTTGTGATGTTCCCCCTCTGGCAGGTCCAGACTCTCCTCTGTGCTTCTGCTCTGAACAACATTTCAGAGTGCCTGGCCTTCTTGAGGTCTCTGAGCAGGATCCTGGACGCTGCATCATCTGGTAGCTCTATTGTGCTTCTGAGGACTTTATGTGTCAGAGTGACACAATGGTGGTTTCTGTTTTACTGGACTTGTGTGCTAACCACAGTATAGGTTGATGCTTGACTCTGTAATTGCATCATCAGGTCTGCAGCAGTGTGTTCTGGACACTCTGGTGAAGAGAGGAGCTGAGCTGTCATCTGATCACCATCTGGGGGTGAGTTGAGTCAGGTGGTGGGGGAGAATGCTGGACAGGCCTGGCGTATCAAAGTGGTTCAGGTGATCTTCAACTCCCACCTCCAGCAGAGCTTTGGCAGCAGTCTGAGTGAGGCTGGGGACTCATTGCTGATGGGGCTGTGCAGAGCTTTGGCTGCAAGCTGGTTGGTGCTTGTAGTGTTGCTAACCTCCTAACCAGATCTCATTAACTCCTCGTGTTTTGGGGAATGAAAGGTCCAGCTGAAACATCCACTCTTTGTCAGATTGTTGTCTTCATTCTGGTGGTAATTCAGCTTTAATTTATGACTTATGAGTTTGTGCTTGTAGCTTCTGTTACCTCACCATGTTCTCTTGTGTCTGCTCATAGCTCTGTGGACTTGAGTTACCTGAAACCTGAAGGATTCTCTCATTGTCTGCTGTTTGGAAAGGACTGACTTGTAACAGAGCTGGAAAACTCACCTGCCCATCCACTCTCCACCCACTCAGCCTTCTGAAGCCTTCACTTACCTCCCTGACACAGAAACTCTAAAAGTGAAACACAAGAAAGGACTCTAATAAATACTATATAAGCAATTCTGACTGCACTGATACTCAGCAGTCGTTCTCTCGGGCAGTTCTCTGGTGTCTCCCTGCTCTGTCCCTCTGCAGGAAACCTACTTACCTGCCCCCCTGTCTTTGAACCTTCTCAAAATAAAAGCATGTAAAGCTTTAGCCTCATGTGGGCTGCGTTAGAGTCGATGCATTCCTGTAATCATGACACTGAGAGGTTGCTCCAGGGATTTAAATCATGTATTAATCCAGACCCTCCCAAAGTGTGGGGCCCGCCCCCTAGGGGGGGCACAGAGCCATTGCGGGGGGGGGGCGGTATGAAACAAACACTTGGACACTGCTAGCACGGGCCCCACAAACGCAAAGCAGGAGATGAAGCATCGCTGAATATGTTTCCAAACCAACTTCATTCTAAGCCAAAGACTAGAAAATATGGTGAAGCAAATCTTCCCTTTGGCTTCACCTGCACAGGTGCCGAGGTAGGTCTCCCTGCAGGATTGGTTTTCCCTGCATCGAGGAGCAGCGCTGGGCTCCAAATCACAGACAGGATCCCACAGCTGTTTATGTTTTTAAACCCATTTTGCATTTTTTGAAAAATGTATTGATGCAATGTTGAATATTATTACACAGGAAAAAACAACTACATGTAAAATAATGCACCGTGACGCCTCTGCCTTTGTAAATGGAGGGACAGTAACTGCGTGTAAAACCTGCAGACAGTCAGATTAACAGTATTTTGTCTCTATCATTCTGCAATTCATCTCATGTAAACAATAACGTGGCCACAGCGTGACGTGAAAAAGGCACATACCTTTGACGTTGCGTGACGAACTCTGTATTCCTCGTCCACACGTAAACGCAAAAAAGGAGTTTTAAAAAATCTCAGTTTTCGGTGATTCGAAACGCCGTTTACGTGGACGAAACAGCTGCGTGTTCAAAAATACCCGTGTAGGTGCGGACGCAGCGTAAAAGAGTTAGTAGTTTTTATTACTACCTGTAATTTATTGCAGATTACTTGTATTTGCTTAATTGTTTACTAAATGTTTGAGGTGTGAAATAAACCGCAATGGAGCAAAATATGGGCGTGTGTGGTTGGAGGATGTGTTTGTGCGTGTGCGCGCGAGAAGGGGGGGGCAAACATTTTTCTTGTAAAACAGGGGGCCCAGCAAAAACGTTTGGGAACCACTGTATTATCGTAGTGGAGAGAAATTAATATGAATATTTCTTGTGTGAAGATGATGGTGTGATATCAGGGCTGCCACATGAAGGGGCAAAGTGAACAAGTTTATGAATACCTCAGAAAAAAAGCTTCAATGAGTATAAATGATCTTCTGATATTAACAATATCCTGGAACACCAACAGAGCAAACCCACAGAGATGCTCCACTGGAGGGCGACATCATCCAGTAGGCGGGGCTCTCCTTCTGCACTGTGTTCAACCATTGTGTCAATAATAAGTGCTGCTGTGAAGAGAACAATTCTCAGACTGAATGTTGAACATCAGCTAGTTTCTCCTGTTGATTTAAACCTTGTTGTACAGATGGAACATTGGCTGTGGATTATTCTTGCTGCTCTTTTCTTTGGTGAGATACAAACATCAACATGTTTCCTCTGCACACGACTCACAACAAGGACAGAAAGAGGAGATTTAATCATTTTACACTGTGGAACTTTTCAATAACTTCAATCATGTTTATTGATCCATCTCTTCCTCTGCATGTTCTGTTCTTCCTCAGAGTGTAAAGGAGAAGACAAAGTGATCCAGGAACAAGGAGATGTCATTGCTGCTGAAGGAGACACAGTTACACTTGGCTGTCAGTATGAGAGCAGTGTAACAAATAATTATCTCTTCTGGTACAAACAGGATGGAAACAACAGCCCCAAATTCATCCTGAGTCGTGTTAGTGGGGATGATGGAAACACAGCAGACGAGTTCAAGGAGAGATTTTCATCCACACTGGATTCCAGCATCAGATCAGTTCCTCTGAAGATCCAGAAGCTTCAGCTGTCTGACTCTGCTGTGTACTACTGTGCTCTGCAGCCCACAGTGACAGGAAACAGCAAAACTCTGTACAAAAACCTTTGGAGCAAAGACAACAGAATACTCCACAACATCCACTAGAGGGAGCCACACACTGTTAAACCTCTGATTCTTGTGTCATTGGACTGATGACAAAGACAACAGAGAAATGAAGCAGTAAAGATCAGAGACAGAGACAGAGCTGCTGTGGAAGCACAAAACTGTTTGATTGGCTGAGCTATTAAACTGGCCCCGCCCACTGAAGTTGAGCTCATCCAATGACATTATTTGTTGGTCATTGTGCTGCAGTGGAAGAACATTGTTCATGTGCTGTCTGTCTGGCTTTAATAACTCCAAAGACATGTTGCTGCACCTCTTTTTGCTTCTATCTCACATTATAGGTGAGTTTAAGAACAGGGATTAAAGTTTAGTTGAAGCTGCTGCATTAAGCAGATATACAGACTGCATTTCACTACTTTTCTTCTTTCTTTTTCCAGGACTAACAGCTGGAGACTCAATCACTCCTCAACAACCTGAAGTCACTAAAACAGAAGGAGAATCTGTCACACTCACATGTAGCTATGAGACAGTTATACACATCCAGAGCTTCACTGGTACAGACATGATTCTGACCTTCAACCTCCTCAGTTTATACTCTGGAAAGGAGCCAAAGACTACAGTGGTTCTCAATATATTCCTGATAAACGATAAATCAGAAACATCACCAACATCAACTAATCTGACCATAGCAGCCCTAACCCTGGCAGACACAGCTCTCTACTACTGTGCTCTACAAACACAGTGATACAAAGTGTAGAAGAGGCTGTACAAAAACCTGAACACAGATATCTGACTACTCTTCAAAGAGGAGGGAAGTGGTATTCAAAGCACAGCTTCATATCAGATGGATTCTGCTAATTCCTGTTTTATCAGAGTCACTGTGGTTACAGCTGCTAATGAAACACTGTGGGAGGATTCACATGAGCAGCAAATCCACATCAACCACAAACCAACTGCAGGAACGTTCAGACACAATAAGTTTTCTGTTTCTTTAAAATAAGCTTCAGTTTCTCACTGATTGAATTAAAACTGAATTATCTGGATGTTCTTTCACTCTAAAACATTAGTATTTTGCTTCAGGGCGACTTGCATGTGACAAATAAAGGCTTTCTTGAATCTTGAGAAACAGGTACAGCAAGGTATAATACACAAATATGTGAGTGGAGTCTTATGTCCTGACAGGTGTGCTCTCCCGTCACAGAAAGAAGAGTTTCTGTACAGAGGAGAGTAGGAATCATTTCCTGATTTTCTTCTTTATGTCAGTGAGGTTGAATCGGCCTGAGGGAGGAGTTCTGCTGCCTCTAAGGTTGAGTGGATCAGGTGTGATGGGTTGTCCATGATGGAGAGCAGTTCAGTAACCGCTGACCCTCACTTACTTAAATACATCCAAATTCAGACCAATCATGTTTCCAGCTTTGTGAAGTTTGTTGATCCTGATGTATCGCTGGCACTGCTGCTGCCCTGAGCTTCCTCTTGTACAGCATCACTGTTAGTCCTTCAGCCCAGTCTGTCATTCAGGTGAAAACCCAGGTACCTGCAGCTATCCACTGTTTCTGCTTCTTCACACATGATGCTGATGGGTCTATTTTCAGTTTTTATCCTCCAAAAATCAACCACCATCTCTTTTGTCTTGTTGACAAGGCAGAGCATCTTATAGTGAAGGAGGATGATGATACCTTAATGGTGACTCTTACTTACGGGGAAAGTGACAGTGAAACAGAGCTGACATGATTTATTCCGGACAGCTCCACAAAGTTCTCCACCAGCTCCCTGTACTCCGACTCCTGCCCATACTAAACACACCCAACTGCAGAGTCACTAAGACTTCTGCAAGTGGCACGTTTCACTGTTGTACTGGAAATCTGAGGTGTACACGATAAACAGGAATGGAGATAGGACCATGCCTTATGGTGCCCCAGTATTACTGATCACCCCAGACAAAGCTCAGCCATACAAACTGAGGCATCTCTGACAGATCATCAGCAATCCAGGAGACAGTAGAAGTGGTAACACCCATTCTGAGCAGCTTCTCACTCAGCAGAAGTTGTTTTATTGAATCAAAGCCACTCAAAAACAAAAGGATTCTCACAGTTCCACCAGTACCATCCAGGTGAGAGTCAGCATGCTGCAATAGGCAGAAAACACCATGACTCAAAAATTTAAGCCTAATCTTAAAAGTAGAGATAGTGTCTGTCTCCCGAATCCAAACTGGAAGCTGGTTCCACAGAAGAGGGGCCTGAAAACTGAAGGCTCTGCCTCCCATTCTATTTTTAAATACTCTAGGAACAACAAGTAGGCCTGCAGAGCGAGAGCGAAGTGCTCTAATAGGGTGATATGGTACTACAAGGTCATTAAGATAAGATGGGGCCTGATTATTTAAGACCTTGTATGTGAGGAGCAGGATTTTGAATTCAATTCTGGATTTACAAGTGAAGGGAAGCCAAAACAGGTGCTCTCCAATGCATCCATCTGTGTGTGAATGTTGATAGAAAGATCATAGAAGTGCTTGTGTGATTGACGCAAGCTATACCAGTCCATTTATCTAGAAGAGACACCAGTACAAGATATCTGCTCTCTCTTTCTAGTCCCTGTCAGGACTCTTGCTGCAGCATTTTGGATCAGCTGAAGGCTTTTCAGGGAGTTTTTAGGACTTCCTGATAATAATGAATTACAGTCGTCCAGCCTGGAAGTAATAAATGCATGAACTAGTTTTTCAGCGTCACTCTGAGACAGGATATTTCTAACTTTAGAGATGTTGCACAAATGGAAGAAAGCAGTCTTACATATGTTTCATTCTGAGAACTTCCGTTAAATGACGTGAGAATCCTACTTCCGGGCCTAAAGTAGTCTGCGTTTAATATGGCTTTTGTGTTGTTAACATGTTTAATGTTTTGTATTTTCTTCTATTTAATCTCAAAAAGCTCCTAAAACAGTCAGTGATCACTGTTGACCTCCCTCGGCTTTTATTACCGCTAATCATTTATTTAAGCTCAGTTTTTAAAACCTTAGGATGTAACTACAGCCCAGCCCATGCAGCAGTATATGAATGACTAACCTCGTATTGTGGATGGATTATCTCAGTTGTTCTCCTGGCTGAAGTTTGGTCCTTTTACAGCATCCTGCCATGCGATTACATTTGTTCCTGACCACCGAGAACACTCACGTTAACTTTTATCGAGTGGAAAAAAAGTTAGCTTGTTTATATTATGCTAACATAGCTGTGTCGCTAGCGGTCACGTAGCACATCATTATATACCAGCTAGCCCAACTTCAGTAACCCTACAAACGTCACTGCTGTTTAGTTTTCTGTCTTCATTTATGCTGGAAGTGATAGCAGAGCTGTACGTTTTAATTTGTTTCCAAAACCCCGCAGTCAGGACATGCTATATTGTATTTAGATAGAAGCTAGCGAGCTAACTCCCTGCTAACTTCTAACTCCGTTAAATGTCATAAATTCCGTTTTCATGGATGCCTGGATGTTAAACTCAATTGTTACACCTGGTAGAGCAGAACGCTGATCATTTTATTAAAGATGAAAGACTTTAGACAGTTTTTCAACTCTCAGTAATGCCATAGTGATCGTTTGATATATGGACCTGTAGCGGAGTTTAGGCCCAGACACGGCTAGTGACGTCAGACTGAACAACCGGATAGGATATTATGGTCGACAGTATCGAACACTGCACTGAGGTCTAGCAGGACAAGCACAGAGATGAGTCCACTGTCAGAGGCCATAAGAAGATCATTTGTAACCTTCACTAAAGCTGTTTCTGTGCTGTGATGAGCTCTGAAACCTGACTGAAACTCTTCAAATAAGCCATTCCTCTGCAGATGATCTGTTAGCTTTTTTTATAACTACTCTTTCAAGAATTTTTGACCCACAACAGGCTGGTAAGCAAACTGAACATAGTCGAGAACATGTTTCACCTGCAAGATAAGTCAGGTAAGCCAAGCTTCTGGTGGGGTTGGAGAGCAGAAGAAAATTAATTGATGCGCACACAAAAAATAGCTCCTATATATTATTTTATATAATTTTCACACAATATAAACTTTTAATTCCACAAATCAGAAATTGTCAGCTATCAAATATGCGGCAAGTAAAAGAAAAAACCAAAAAAATTCAAAAGCAAAAATCTGGAACTTCAACAATGTTACGTCTGAAAGTCAGGAAAAAGGTCAAAAACCATGCACCATAATCGATCAAGAATGGACCATGATACAAGATAAATCCTAGCATCCGATATTTCAATATATAGTGACGTGTTCACACTTTATCATTCTCTATCGATCTCGGGATATGAAGATCGTCGAGTAGCGGCTGTCCAGCAAACCATTGACGGGAGATGTGGACCGGAGGGTGTCCGCCAGACCTCAAAGTGTCTGACCGTTTCTCACATTCGTATAGCTTTGGCCCCCCTTCCACAGTCATAAAACCTAAACATCCACATTCTTTCTTTCTCAGTGAGCCTAAGTTATGACCATGGCTTCCTGTGCAGTATGTTCTGTTCTTCCTAATCAGACAAGTAAGGCCATGATTCTCTGAAAACAGTATTTCTTATAAATCAGCAGTATAATGCATCATAAAACAATGTAATTCATTCACAATAAATGACAGCAGTCTCATGTAATACAAATCAGTTTAATAAATGTAATAGTTATCATCTTCTTCTAAGTCAGGAGAATAATGCAGCCTAAAACTACATAATGATTTCACAATCTTTAATTAGAGGTATAACGTGGCATAAGATAGTATGATGTAAACATGTGCTATGCAAGTATATCAGACTATTTCATTTACAGAACTAAAATGAGTTTGTTGTGTACAGAGAATCTTTGAGCTTGACTCAACGGTTAGGCCTCGTGAATACATCTTTGTGGATGAAGCTGTTGGTTGCAACATGTGTTTTAAATTATGAGTGGTAGTGTGTTAACGCTTCTGTTGCCTGTGTACAACGTTGGTAGTTCTCGTATAGTTGTTTGTCTCCCGCTTCCTCCTGTTGCCTAAGTATGTCAACTGAATCATTCTGAACGGTATTACATACATGACAAAGCATTTTCCCACAGCATTCGCCAGACACTGTTCACAAACTAGATGTGAATATTTGATTTGGGAAGTTTTAGTACCACGTTCTGGTAAATGTGGGAAGATTCAGATGTTCTTCTGTAGGTGCCTAATAAGGAATAATTTTCCTCATGACGCAGATTGAAAACAGGGTGTATTCAGATGTCATTAATGCGTCATCTGTTTTGGTGACCAGAACTTGATATGTTAATTGATACAAAATTGATTCAGTTATTCATTGTTGGCCAGCGTATAAGCTTTTTTATAATGGCGATTTGGTTTCTGCGCTGCTTTGTAGCAATTCAGCAAAACTGTAATCTGGGCTGCCAGGTCTTCCTCATATATGTCTCGGTGGGAAGTAGACTCCGAAAGTCATTTACATGGGCCTTAACCATAGGCCAACTTTAGAACATTTCATACCAAACAAATTGCTGTGACAGGGGTGACTTTATTTTTTTGTATGCCCCGGCACACCAAATAAGGTGAGGGCCAATTCACGATGTGTAGTCCACACATACACTTCCGTAGTATTACCATTACTGTAGGATAGAATGAATCGGGCGCAACTGTTGAAGACATCATATGTTAGTTGCTAGCATGGCAGGCCACACAGAGAGACGGGAAGCCTGGATGTCTTCAGTTTGAAATCTGCAATTATCCTGATTATGCAAACATTTTATCCACCTTGTTTTCTCATATGACAAGACATAGTGGATTCTCAACTGTCCGGTGTGAGTTATAGAAAAGTTTGAAGTTCATCAGTATAAACAAAACATCTGCTGCATGGTAAGTCAATTCATGAAGTACTGGAGACTGACGCACAAGCCCTGACACGCACATTTGATCACATGAAGATCTTAGAAGACGCTTTCCCACAATTTTGCAAAAATACTCGCCTTTTATTTTTCAAGCCAGG